TATTCTGCTGGGAAATCTTTGGCTTAGATATTCATGCTGATGCCACTTTTATAAATAAAACTTAAGTATTACTGCAGTAAATTTAAAACCTTTCATTGAAATTACATTCCCTGACAGCTGGAACTCCTTTCAGAACATTAATATACTCTTTATATAACAGAGTATGTTATAGTCTGTGGAGCAAAATATCAAATTGGACTTGTTAACTTGGCCAGATCCTAATCCAGTAGCACATCTATAGCAGGGGCAGGACACTTTTAGTGCCAAAAAGCCATTTTGCCTCATCTTCCACCAAAGAAAATAGTCTAGAGTCTCACTCTAACCATGAAAAAAATGACACAACTTATCCACATTTTGAACAATTTTTAAAAGCCTACTTAGCGCCTCCCATAAATCCAGAGGAACTGTGCTACGTAGGCCTTTTTCCAAGAAACCAAACGAGTCTGCTGGCAACACTGAGATGCCAGAAACAGCTTCAGTGACCGCTGTGCTCCAGGCATCCATGAGTTAGAGATGTGTCTGGCAGCAGAACGGGAACCAGCACACTATCAGACAGAAAGTATTTTTTATTACAATGAAGCCCTCTTTACAAAGTCTGATGGAAGTTTTAATACACTTAAAGATCTTTAGTAAAAGAGGCTGGTGAACTCCACCAGTCTTCTTCAGTGCTGCAGTGTCAACATTTCAAAGAATGGAAATAGTTTTGATGACTCATTCAAAGAGATAACAGCATGAGCTACAAGGTGCTACTATAAAAATATGTTACAGAAGCAGGAACAAAAAAAGGTCTTCAAAAGCCACTAAAATATTTAGCTTAGAAAAATAAAAACACCTGAAGCATCTATTTTATTAAAATGGTCATAGCAGAACCTCCTCTGAGTTATTATATGTCATAACCTGCTTTTGATATTCTCGTTACTATTAATCAAGCAGCTTTATAAAGTCAGGCTGGACTTTATAACATATGGTGTACACTGATGTTTTATATTGTGCAGACATGTTTTTGTACTTTGGGAGATAGCCGGAGTACTTTGAGAGAGAAGTAAGAACAATGACAATGTTCATGACTTCCTCTAACATTAAAAAACTCAGAAGCAATCAAATATATAAATACCATTCCAATTAAAATTACGATTAAAATCAGTTTGCTAGTGGACAAATAGGGAAGAAGTATTCAAAATGGTAAAACTTTGACAAAGGCAAACATTTGGCAGAATTGAAAGAATGCTGTCTTAAAGATCAAGTTTTTTTTTCCAAGAAAAATGCTCATTACAATCATTTTTAATGATTTTTTTGCAAGTTCTGTCAATAAATACTTAGGTGAAATAGCTAAACTGGAACTAAACATTTAAAAAATCTTAGTTTTATTGATGTTTTCCCATCTTGTGCAGTTTATAGATTTGCTAATAATTCGCTGCAGCATTCGAAATTTTACAGTTTCAGGCCATTTTTCTTCGCATAACTTATTTGAAATTGATTTAGCTTCATGTGTTTGTATCATATTATCCCTTTCAGCTATTTTTTTTATTGATAGCATGATTGTAGGAGAGAGTGAGAAATTTACCATGTGTATTCCTAAGAGGACCAATTAGCTTTTTCTAATCAGGAATCACCAACTGTTCAGAACAGAAAGAGGTCAGAATCGAGCAGCTGCCACAAAATATGGAGCATTATGGTGCACAACCCATTAACAAATTATGGTAGAAAACATATTTTAGCTTTGTGAATGATATCGGTTGATTGTGTAAGCACACTGGGGATTATATTCTATTTAATGGAACTATATGTTTTCTTTTCCTGGCTGTTAACTCAAGTTTTTGGAGCATTTTCCAGAAGATTTCAAGCTTAAAGTGTGAAGCAGATAAAAATGAAGCACTGCCACATAGCTGAGTCAATGTTTATGCTTGCACATCACTGCCTGCTGATCAGCAGAGTGTTTTAATGGCAGAAATGATGCAGAAAAAGTAAATGAATGCGTTTCCACTCAGGTTAAAACAGATGGTGGATCCGCAGCCAAGAGGCAGTTAGGAAACTCTCTTAGCTTTTTTGTTTGTTTTTTTTTAGAAAAAATAAACTTGCATTTTTTTAACATTAGCAACGAGCAAAACAAAAATCACTGTCCATATTTCCCAAGATTCGGAGGACAGATGGGGCATGGTTATCAGATTAGTGAAGCTGAAGCAGGATAATTCTTTCTCTGTCCTCTCTTGTCTTTACCTTCATCTACCATATCTTATATAAGCCAGGATTCCTGTAATTTGTAGCAATGTGCAAAAACATCATTTGTTTTAAAGTTGCAACCTGTGTCCCATCGCCCTCTACTGTCATTTTCTGGGAATGCATGGAAGATATAGTCATGAAGAGTTGAAAGTGTCAGAGAGGCCACCATTATTGGAAATGTTAGTACCACAGGCCACATCAGTGGCTACTTTACATAGCTGAAAAATTGACACTGTACACTGCAAGCGTTTAGTTAAGATAATAAATAGTTTGCCCTCTATGGTTTTGTCTTTGCCCTAGATGGGCTAATGACCTGTCCACCTTTTTCCCAATAAATGCTGGAGATTGGCCAGGATAGATGGAGGGATGGAATTATTAACTCCCTGAACATTACTGAAGGATCACTGGACAGGAATGAAGGTGGTGAAATAATGATTAGGGGGTATTTTTTAATCTAATCAGGCAACATAATCAAAAATAATCATAATGCTAAAAATACTAAAAGTTCTCAAAAACAACAGCATCACATTTTTATTAGAATAGCTTGTTCTTGGGGAAAATTCGATTGTTCAGCAATTCAGTGATCCAAAGCACATAAATTAGAGAAGAAATTGGTTGCTGTCAAAATTAACATTTTGGAATTTCCCAAATAAACTCTGCCTTGAATCAATGCATAAATCAGATAATCAGTGGAGGGGGGAGAACAGTACTGTTATGACATACAGGACTTTCAGCTTCAATGTCATGGTTTGCGGTAGAAAAATCCCCAAGTGAAGAACAGGACCGTGGCATGGCAAAAAAATGATTTTTTTTAATAATAATAAAAAAGCAAATTTATAGTGGAATCGCAGTAGTAATAAGTCATGAAACATGGGTGGGCAAGAGGCAAAATTGTCATGGAAATGGAGAGAGTATGGAAGAGAGTCCAACAGAAAAATTCAACTGTGACACGGAGAGAGCTTGTAAGGGTTGTAGAATGACAAATAAACCAAAATATCAGTTCAGTAGAAGTCTGGAGCAGCTGGGGCAGAAAGAAGGCAGGGAAGCTGTTGAATTAATCTTAAAAAAAGAAGCTGATCTAAGACACACTGTGGTTAAAGAAACAGAATGCAAATGTACAAAGAACAGAACACAAAAATAAAAGTCTAAGCATAAAGGAATAACAAGGCCAACTTAGCTAATACCAACATTAACATGGGAAAATGGCAGAACATGTTAGAATATGATAAACAAAAAGGATTTCTGAAAACAACCCTCAAAAGAAACTCACAAAATGGGAAAACATGTCATTCAAAGACTTGGAAATGGTCATGGATAGAAGCAGAAACATGCAAACAGCTGATCAGTAATAAAGAGAAGCACTTAGTCTCAGTAATATCTAATCAAGCATTACTCATATGTTCATTAGAAGGGTAGAAATAACATTGGACATGGCTTTTCTTTATTTAAATGTAAAGTAAATTATTTTCATTTGTAACAGTTATACACGTATTGATCAGTGCCGTGATAGCTGACCTAATTACTCACCTCTCTAACCCTACCCGGTTACCAATAACTATTCAATTTACCCACCTACTCCTGCTGCTTTATATTCGGCTCAGGCCAGCTATCCTGTTTTGACTCCGTGGAGGGATTTAATCTAAAGTTCTGATGTTTTCTTGGTGTCACGTCTTGTCCTGCCTCTCAACTACTGGGCTCACCTGTTTTCTATTTGAACGTTTTCTGCTTGAAGTCTTTGTGGACTCATGAAATGCTGAACCTGCCTTAACGCTCTGTGGATTTCTGGAACCCTGGCTCTGTCTGTTCCTGGTTCTGATTGGAATCCCTGATCAGGTTTTGGACTCCTGGATCTCAGAACCATCCAGTTCTGAAATGTTTGCCTGAACTGGCTCAGACTCCTGCATGTTTACTGAGTTTGTTGCATCGGGGACACTCTTGCCGGCTCCGCATCTCGTTGGCAGTCGATCGCTTGGATCCTGCCTCACCCAAGAGGATAGACTGAACTGTTAAACCGGAGTGCCAGTGATGGGTGGTGCCCCGCCTCCCCCAGCAGTCGCTGCAGATCCGTAGATCCACAGCTCTGCTTTTTCTCTGTTTTGTTGATAACCCACTGTCACTGAAACTTCCCACTGTCTGTCTAGCCTGAATACTGGGTCCTACATTCTGAATTCCTGACAGAATGATCTGGCCCCTGATAGCTGGGTTGAGCCGAATATTAAGCAGCAGGAGCAGGTGGATAAGATGAATGATAATTAGTGGCAGGGGAGGATTAGGCAAGTGAGTGAAGTGAGCAATTAGGTCAGCTATCAGGGCACCAATCATGACACACATATAACCTTATTTTATCTTTTGAGAAATACAACTCACTTCTGCTCACAACTTCTTGGATAATTGCAGATAATCTTAACTGTATTCACACCTAACTTAAACTATGTTTGTTTTGAAAAGCAATGAGTTTGTATCAACATTTGGAAAGCTTGTTCGCATGGTTCACAGATGGATGAAGCTGATGTAAAAGTAAATTAAAAGGATTTGATTTTTTCACACTTAAATAATACTTCTGAGATCAACGGATTCTGGCAGTTTTATTGTTAGGTATATATACAAAATAAACGGCCGTATTATGACAGAGCATAGTAAAATAATTGAGATAGGTCCAGAATCCTAATTATTAAATTACAAACCTATTGATTTTATGATTAATCCGTCGTCTAACATTTAAATTCTGACTATTAATCTATGCTCATAAATCTCAAGTAAAAACCTTTAGAAGACGTTTCTTTGTTGAAACCATAATTTGCAGCTGTATATCAACTCATTCTGCGACACGTTTGGGAAGGAAACAATACAATATCCTTTGAGGAACAACGTTTCACCTTGAAGGCATCAGCAGAACTGAAAAGTTTTAAAGGAATCAGAGAGAGAAACAGTTAATATTAATTAACAGGTTTTTTTTTCCAATGCAACCATTTGTAAATCAGATCAAACGCCTACCTTCCAGCGGTTACCACACTCATTGCATAGGACGAATGTTGTCATGGGCTCATCAGCGCTGCGAGTCTGAACCTGAAACATATACAGATGAAGATCTGGTAAGAGGAGAGCAACGCTGAAAGAAGCAGCTTAGACATAGAGCAACACTGCATAACTTTTGGCCAAAGTATTAGTTTAATTTGAGATATATTTAGTGATTCTTTAGGTCCATACGTTGATTTATATTAATGCTCCCTTTTCCATATATAATTTAAAAGGGTTGGTCTACTCACTTAAGTCTCAGCTCCCCCTAAACACCTAAAAACCAAAGCTAATACAGATATAAAACCTATCCGATAAGACATATTTTGTATTTCTGATGCAGCAGTTAATCTAGAGGAGTGAATATGGCCTTGTCTTTACAAGTAACTTTACTTCTCAGTCATTTGGTCCAAAATGGTCTGCATTTTGATTCCGAAACATCGAATATGATGGTTTCACCTGCTGTGATTTAAGAATATTGCGCCATCGAGTTATGGCATTAAGCTCAAGAGACTCCATCTTTGAATGATTTGTAAAGATTTTAAAACACAGTTTAGTAAAGCACTACTCATCAGTTACTGGAAACAGTTAAGAGCAGCACATGTTGGCACATCCAGTTTTTAGGTTTAACCTCTTAATATCCACCTCATTTTGGAAAATTCTCACATTTTGCATACTCAAATGGAAAAGAAAATATCAGGAACTGTAAGCCCAAATTACATGTGTGATACATTATTTGAAAGCTAACACCTTCTAATTTCTGAATATATACATGAAAATTGGGTGAGTAAAACAAAACATGATTGCTTGTTGTGACTGGTTTGTCCTGGTACATTTTGACATGCTGCTATATCTATGTTAATTGTGCTTTGGTGTTCACTGTGTCCATAAAATGAACTAGATGGATTAATTGTGGAAAATCTAAGCTTTCCAACGATGTCTAACATGTTTATATTGGTAAACAATTTATCAGTGTAATGTTCATGCATTCTGAGTTATTATTTGTGTTTTGAGAGGTGAAGAGTAAATTGTCTTTTTTTTTCCTTCAGCAGAAGAAATAATGATTGAAAAACTTAAATTCTAACAAGCTTGGGTTATTTTTTGTCTGATATTAACATTCAAGTGCGACAAAGCAGAAAAATCTGTGGGGTGCTGTTCAGACCACTATTCCTCCTTCAGTAGAAGGACAGAAGACAAAGCAACACCCACTCATCTTTAAGCTTGAAATTTTTATATTCAGTTATCTTTCTTCCGTTTCCTTTGTGACGGCTGTTAGAGCAACTCCGATTACCTGGTTGTAAGTGCAATTCTTCTTCTTGCACTTGCCACACTGCAGCAGGTCTGTGGTGGTCCCACCCGTTTTGGCCATCTGGTGTTCCCTGATGGCCTCCTGGGTGAGGACGTTCCTCAGCTGTTTCAGCTCGTCACTGGCCATTTCCTTAACGCAATACGGATGACAGGAGAACGTGTGACGAACAAAGAGGAGGAAAATCAAAGCTGATGTAATGAAAGCTGATCACTTTGAAAAAGGTGAGTTACCTCCGCTGACATGCTGGCCATCCGGCTCAACTCAATGCTTCCTGCGAGGACGTTTCTACGAAGCCCTGGGTTCTTGGGGTCCTTCAGGTTGCTGATGCGGCTACGGACTCTGTTCTTGTATTTCATATCCGTGGCCCTGATCTCCTGGTAGATATGTGCATCTACACAGTCAAGGTCAAAAACTAATTTCTCCTTATTCATCTACCAAAGATTAGTCAAATAGTGAACTGCTGTCCTTAGTAAAGGATATGATCTTCAATCTCTGCTGCCATGCTGTCACAGTTTGCTCCAAAATCTTTGTAATCATCTGTGAAAAGCAGGATATATTAAACAGAGCAGTAAACGCCACCCCCTCTAGTATTTGTCATCTATAATCAGTAAGCTTTCAGCCTCACTGTCTGTGCGCAGGGCAGCTGCCAGCATCTCAATGCACTTGTCTCTGACTGAGTCTCCAGTAGCAAGGTGAGGGGGAAGAGGACCTCCAGGAGAGTTAAAACTTGGAGACATCGGGCTGGTTGGGGTGGTGGGAGTCCTCGGTGCTTCAATTTTACCCTTCCTACATACAAAAAAAATTATGCTTCTGAACCAAAAAGCTACTAACCTGACAACAGCCAGATGCATGTCTCGCTCCGCCCAGCTCCTCTCACATGAGTGGAGCTGGGCGGAGCGAGACATGCATCTGGCTGTTGTCAGGTTAAAAAGCTACAGGAACAGCTTAAATATCATTTTTTTCATTCAGAGCTTAAAAAGGACTTAAATATCATTATGTGTTTTGTATTTTTATATAATTTCAGTAAAGATACCTTTCAATGCTGTCAGTAGATGATTTTCTCAGTGGTTGTCCAGGAGGCTTCGAACCCAAAGACTCTCTCCTAAAAAACATAGTAAAAAAAAGTTATGCTGATTTGCATAAAAAAAAGCATATAGAATGATTATTTAATCCCTCTATTAACTCAACTTGATCATATTCTAATAAAGTTGTCTCTGTTTAAGGCCTCATTAGGCTGTTAAATTTTTTTTTTTTTTTTTGCTAATCTCCTCCCCAATCTTTAAATATATCTGATAATTATAGGATTCAGTTAAATTTAAAAATCCTTTTAAGGATATCACGCAGACTGTATTACTACTGTTTAGAAACATCCTGGACATGTGACCAGCAAATAAATAGTAATCCTACGGTGTCAGGATTATGACAAAAGTGAACCATGAAAGTATATTATGTTCCACAGGTGCATTATGTCCCCTTTTTTTTATTCACCATGAGTGTATATAATGTTAAAGGAGCATATTTTACACTACAAGCATGCAATCAACATCCCTACATGCACAATTCAGTGACAATAAGCGTAGCTGAGCTGTGTGAAGAAGCTGCAGCTCATTGCCGGTTACCGGCTTTACAATTACAAAAAGATTACATCTTAAAAACATAGGCAGCACAACTGCAGAAATCTGCACTAAAGTAACTTAAAAAGTAGGACGCTTTGGTTTAATGCAGCACTTAATGGGGGATGGTGACCTCTGGATAACTTAAAATATAATATTTAATACCTCTGATTTAACAGTAGCAGAAATTATAGTTCTAGCTACACAAAACTACACCAACAAAGCATAAATCATTCAGTCCATTTTCAGAGTTTTTTGGGGTGTCAGCTTCACACAACTAAACTGTGCTTGTGGTCAATGAAATGTGCACGTGGGACATTCAATGCACACGTGGAGGATAATCTACGGCCGTGGTTCACTTTTCTTGTAACCCTGACGCCATACTATCAAACTCACATTATTGTGGGGAACATCATGTCTCTTTCATCAGGCAACTTTTATTCAACACATGCTTGTTCTTACTGGCTCAGATTACTACAACATCCTCTACAATATTAATCCTGATGGCATAGATTACACATGGACCACAGTCCATGACAGTCTGAGAGTCAGTGAAGAAATATTCTAAGTTGATTGGTTAGAATTTCCTAAACCATTTTCTTTTTCTGAGAATAACTTTGAATTTGCTGATTTATGAATGGTTACAAATAAAATACAAATAAACCCCATTTGTCTCTCTTATATGTCAAACAGGGTTATATTTATAATCTCATTCTTTTAGAATAGGAAATTGGAAAGAAAAATGAAAGCCTGTTTGCTTAGTTCACACAAACTGCATTAGTATAGTATCATGTTCTTGGTTTAACAGTCTGCTATGTGCAGCAAAGCACCGATTTACCTTGAGTTAAGGATCCTTATGATGCCATCGATCACAGTAAATTATAAAAATATACTCTTAAAAAATGGCCAATGAAAATATGTCGAAAATAATGTTAATTACCATTACAAATAATTCCAAGAGGATTTCATTCAATACTTTTTCACAGCACCACACACTGTCAAAAAAATGTTAGAAAGATTTTACCTTTCAGCAGTTATCTTCTTAGCTGGTGGTGAGCTACTTCTCTTTGAATCAGTGGATTCACGCCTGTGGAACCACGAAATTAGAGCAAACCTGGGTTTCTCTTAATTAATTGTTTTAATGTAGTTTCTTTATTAAAGACAAATACGTCTGAACATGTTCCATACCTGATATGTTTGAGCTCAGTGGAATGGCCTTTTGGAGCATGGCATGGTTTCAGGTCACTGGGATCCTTCCTGCCAGAAAACAAGAAATAAACCTGAGAAATTTGCACACTATTCTGTGAAAATGAAAGCATTTTTATTGGTTCTGCAGAAATTTCTGCACACCTGTGTTTTTCTTTTTTGACTTCACTGGTAACCTTTTTGGAAGGAGGTGCTTTAGAATCAGAAGAATCTTTCCTGACAAGAAAATTCAAGATTTGGAACAATTCCAGTGGTGGAAAAAAAAGATAATAGGGCTAGCTTGTGGTAAGCATATGTAGAAGTAGCAAACATTTTCATTTGCTTTGTCATGCATAGTTCATGATTGACCAACCTTTCTCTCTTGGCGTCATCTGAGAGTTTCTTAGATGTTTTGCCATCATCTGAATCTCTCCTGTTAAATTAGAATAGCTTTAAAGATTTCCATTAGCTAAAAGTCACTACAGCCAAATTAATTCTGCACCTGAGTTTTAATCTATATTAAAACTTGAGAAAAAATAGCAGAGCAATTGGAGTGACAAATGTTAACTCCAGAAAATGTGAACATATTTAACCACATATAGATTATTGGTAGAGTACTGTGACAGAATGCAGACCTGTCTTTCTTCAGACAATCAGCAGACTTTTTCTTTGGCTCTGTGGATGATTTCCTACTGCTGCAAAGAAACGGAATCAATGCACTAACATAAAAAAAACACATTTTCCTTAGGGATTCTAGGGGGTGACAATATAAGCTGATATAGTTCAGACCTATCTCTTTCCTTGCTCCCATCCACAGAGGGGTGCTTTTGAGGAGGAGCGGGGGGATGAAGATGGAGTGGGAGGGGAGGAAGGGGAGCATTGGGATCTGGAGGCTCTTTTCTAAATGAGACAAACATCTTTCAGCCAGCATGAATCACTTTAGAGGAAGGATGAGCGATACAGTGGCTTTCAAAATTACTCATCCCCTTGAAGGTTTTTCACAATTTATCCACAGTACAACCATAATAAGGTTTTTATGCGTGGGTCAGTGAAGGGGACAAACATATCTGAGATTTGACCTTTCACCGACAAAAACTGCTTTTATTATTTAGCACCCATTCAAAATGACCTTCCTTGGTCAGATTTCTAGCCAAACTGTATCATTTTCCACATGTAACCTCATCTGATGTGCCAAAATAATTTTGGAGGGAATTAGGGGGACCTTGATTTCCTTAATTCTGGGAGATCGGTGATCGGTTGGTACTTATACTGTATGTGAAACAGCTTTCATGCACCGATCATATACATCTCCACAATCCATAAACTGTCAATGCTCTACTTGACTGATTTATATTAGTTATTTCAGATATTTTTATTGTTTCACAGGTCATTATTGACATCTTTCAGTAAGATCATTTTAAAGGTGTCTTGTGATGTTATGACTTAGTGTCAGTCATTAAAGCTAAAATCTGACTTTTTAAAGACTGAGAATCGCCTCCCCCCCTAGTCGAAATCCTTGCAAATGTCTTTGCATATCTAAAAAACTAAATGATAGGCCAGATCTTTAAACATAACAAATTGAGACTAAATCTGTCTGTTACTCAGCTAAATTGGTGCATGAGTTAGAAATGAAGTAGCAAAGCAGATCATGTCTGATGTAATGGCTTGTTGGCAGGTTTGGATTTATAGAGATGTCTGTTTCAGTCTAAAGAATACGAGTAAAGGTGTTGAGGTTTGGGATGCTGGATTAGGAGACCTCTGACTGGTTTAGCAGTCCTTCATGACTGCTTCATCCCAGGAAGATATAAGAAGTTTGGATATCTTCGTAAATGTTATTTTAACCAAACCTTATGTTAGTCTATTTTTCAGAGGTGATCCTGTGTGCTCAGAATAGCTTTAAAAGCTTCCATTAAGATAATTTCCCATCCTTTCCAAACTGATCGTAATCCAAAGTGGGGGCCCAACTAGAAATCTGAAAGACTTGGAACAGAGCTGAAACCTTTTCAGTCTTAAAGGGACTTTAGTTCAAAACAACAGCTGCTTCCACCAAGATTGTCCTGGAAGGAACTGAACAGTAATCCTTATGGGTCCTTTAGATATTTCACAAGTAAGCAGTTCTCATCAGTTTTGTGATGTTTCTAGTGCTGATGGGTACAAATGGAGCCAAGATTTGGTAATCATCTCCCATTTTTAACTTCAGCTCCATCAGATAGAAGTTTCTAATCCAATTTTGATTAAAATTAATGTATAAAATATTTTTCTTTGGGCTTAATATCTGTGAGAATCAGCAATAAATAAATTGGAGTCTGTAATTGTAATGAGAAAATGTGAAAAAGTTCAAGGCACTGAAATGGAAAGTATCAGACACAGACAGGCATGCATAGCCCGACCTTGGAGGAGGAGGATGGAGGTGGAAGGGTAGAGGAGGTATTGGAGCATTTGGGTCTGGTGGAACCTTCCTGATGTGAGAATGAGCTTGTGTTTATTTATTTTTGTTTTTGGACAACCACATAAAATGTTCAAAACATGCATCAAAGCATGCCTGACCTCTCTTTCTTGACTTCCACTGCAGGTCGTTTTGGCGGCAGAGAGGCAGGTTGAGGGCCATGAGAGTGAGGTTGTCGAGAGGAAGAATCTTTACCCTCCTTCCTGACCGTAAATAACAATATCACAGATGTGAGCGGGTTCACAGCAGGTGTCGAAGCACTGTGTAAAAGCATATCAACCCATCTCAGCATGCACCATGCACTGCATGAATCCTTATTTTCAAAGGGGCAGATATGACTACATGTGAGGAGCAAGTAGCCTGTTGGGTCATGCTGTTAGCAGGAGCAACATTACAGACAGGGGTCCTGACCTTTCTTTTCCTGAATCCAGAGACGGACGTTTGATGGGTAAAAGAGGTCGAGCAGGTCGAGGAGGAGAGGGGAAGCGAGTGGGATACAGTAGTGAGCTGTCCAGCACTCCTCTCCTGAAATAAATAGCTCAATCTAAGGTTTGTGGAACCTTAAAAATCTAAAATACTAGCATTTTGGCAACAAGCTCCTCACCTTTCAAAGATGAGTTTATTAGCTTCAGGTGTCTTGTCTCTATGAGGGGCACCAACAGGCCACTCTTGTCTGCCATCTTCCCTGTTTTTATCCTTCCTCCCTTCATCTGCACATTTTTTAAGCTCCTCTGGAGGTTTATCTGTTTTTATTTGCTCAACATGCCACTTTTTTTTCAGCTCTTCCAATGATTTGTTTTTGCTGGGGTCAGAGTTGTGTTTGTGACTCTGCAGGTCTTGTGAGTGCCTCTGTTTCTTATTATCCATTTCCACTTTGGGATTCTCTGCAGGAATTTGTTTCTCTGTTCTGATTTCTTGGAGGTGTTTCTCACTTTGGCGCTCCTTGGGGTGTTTTCCATCCATCCTGGGATCATCTACGCATCTCTTTTTGATTATGTGGTTTTCATTCTGGCTTTCTTTCTTGTTTTTGTCAGGATCTGATTCATGTTTCAGTTTGGCCTCCAACCTCCTGTGGCTAAAGAAACAAATGTTTTACCTCTAATCTGAACCCAAAGGTGGAAATGTTCTTTAATCAAACAATACGTGGAATGGATGAAGACACACCAACTTAAGAGTGTCTAAAATGAAAAATATTTTACAGGAGAGGCTTCTGTGCTGTAATACATTGTATTGTAAAAGGTATTCATTACCTAAATAAATAAATCAGCATACTGTGATGCTGACTTTTTGGGACATACCAACACAAACCAGCTCTGTAGAGGTAAAGGAAAACATTCATAATTTACAACTTTGAGCACCCTTGCTATAATAAAATAAATAGAACCAATTGCATTCAAATACACCCTAAACTTGCACGTTTGTGTTTTATTCAAAAAAAGTATTAACATATTAACTCATGGAGGGAAAAGGCTAATTTATGTGGTGGGCAACCAAGTATTTATTCTTTTCCCTTCACAATTATGTGTTGATGTTGGTCTATTATATAAATACATGTACAAAATTGTTAGTGACATTCATGAAAAAAAAAACACAATAAATAAAAGTAATGGATAAAAATTCTGTGAAAATGAACAAATAAAGGTCATACATTGGTTTTAAGCCATACTTTAAAGGAATAATTAAAAACAATAATATAATGGATAAAAATGATTGTCGTACCCCTAGAAAAGACTGAAAAATAATGTGACCAAAGGGACATGTTAAATCAAGGTCTGTCCACTAATTGGCATCACAGGTGTCTACAATCTTGTAATCAGTCAGTGTGGCTATGTACAGGGCTTGGTGACACGGTTTGTACCACATTTAACATGGACCAGAGGAAGCAAAGGGAAGAGTTGTCTCAGGAGATTAGAAATAAAATTATAGACAAGCATGTTAAAGGTAAAGGCTATAAGACCATCTCCTAGCAGCTTGATGTTCCTGTGACTACAGATGCACTTATTCAGAATTTGAAGAACATCCCTTAAAATCGCAGCAGGAGGAAAATTGAGGACAGAGATGGATGAGACGAATGTTAACAAAACATCTAAAGAGTAGTGATGGTGAGATGAGGCCTCATGAGGCATTGAACCGTTTGGCCAAATTGCTTCAAGGATCCCCACAGTCCATGAGGCTCCATGTGAACATGTCGCCACCTACTGGTGGAGTGCAGAACTACAATTTGTAATAAAATATGTGATTTTTTTTTTTTGCAATTGTTTTTCTTTTTTTAATTTAAGGTGCACAGTTTTTCTGCCATTTTAGTGAAATAAACTCAAGCAGACAGTGAAAGTGTTTGTGCAAACTGGGCAATGATGAGCAAAATGAAAGGTGTTAGTCATTTTTATTCAAACATAATAGTTTTTCCAAATTTTTTGGTTTTCATCGGGTTGGAAGTTTTGTTCAAGAAATCTTTTGGTTAAACTGACCTAATTTGGCAGCGTTTTTACCCAATCTTTATTTTTACTAGGGCAAACCAATGCAATTTAGTCTCATTAGCCAAAATAATAAAGTACAATTGCAACTTTCAAAAGTCAAAGGTAGATCTTGAGCCATCAACCTCGGGAGTGGGAGTCTGTGTCTTAGAGAAGACGCCACTAAAATTGGCATCTTGCTCAGATTTTGATCATTACATTGTTTATTCTAACCTAAATAGTTTAAAGCAACTAGATTGGTTGTTTTTCGAACCAATCTATTCTTAGAATCTATCCAACTGACAGCAACTCTCCTACAAACTCCCACATCTTAACTGAATCCTGAGGCTGTTTAAATGCCTGCCGAATTTCTTGCTCTTTCTGAACCACTTCCTAAAGTGTTCACGTGGTATCATGGTAGCGAGGCCTCGGATGTCATCAATTTTGGCCCCTACTCTAAATGAATCACGCCTCGAGGGTTTCCCCTCGCTTCGGGGAAACGCCACCTCCATTACTCGACACACGTCTCGAAGCCTCGGCTCATCTCATAACATCACTACTAAAGAGATTAAAGGTAAACTTCAAGCTCAAGGAACATCAGCACCGGATTGAACCATCTGTAATTGTTTGAGCCAAAGTGGACGTAATGGGAGATGACCTAGGGGGACACCATTGTTGAAAATAAATCATTAAAAAGTCTTTGGAAATTGACAAACTATATATTGACAAGCCAAAAAGCTTTTGAGATAATGTCCTATGGACAGATCGGACTAATGTTAAAGTTCTTGCCAAGGCACATCAGCTCTATGTTCAGAGGGATAAAATGAAAAGAATGAAGAAAAGAAAGCTGGGATTCTAGCAAGAAATGTGCTGCTCTGTGTGGGAAAGCTTGGTCTCAGTCGCAATTCATGTGTTGTTTAACAGGATGATTGAAAACACACCGCCAGGAGGGGCTAAAAGGAAAACATTAGACTATTCTGCAGTGGCCTTCTACTAAATCCTACTGAGCATCTTTGGAAGGAGCTGAAACATGGCATCTGGGAAAGTGACCCTTCAAACTGGTAACAACTGGAGCAGTTTGCTAATGAGGAGTGAAAATACCTGCTGAGAGGAGCAGAAGTCATATTGATAGTTACAGGAACTGTTTGATTGCAGCAATTGACTAAACTGACTAACATTTTCAACAAAATATAAAGTTAAAGGTACCATAATTTTTGTCCAGGCTTCTTTTATGAGATCATATCTTAAAATCATTCTGCTGAAGCTTGGCTAAAAAGCAATGTCTGGCTTTCATTTTTTAATTTTCACATAGTTTTTATGTGTTATTACTTTTATAAGTTATTTCTGTGACCACTGTAAATTTTCTTATCATTAAACAAAGGACTACCAACAATTGTGTCCGTGTGTAAAACCATAATGCAATATATCTATAAGTCAATATTCAGAGCATATATGAGATTTCTAGTGAATCTAAATAAGGTTTCCTTCCACTATAACATGGATACTAACAGCCCGGGTCCTTCAAGGCTGGTAACTAAAACAGGAAGAAAAACACTGCAGTTTTTTTTAGCAGCTTTTCGGGTTTCACTCTGTCCTTTTTTTTTTCTTTCACACGGCCCTCTTATCTGTAGATCCCAAGGTTTCTTATGGCTGATCTCACAGCTGTGGAGAATTTTCCCCAAGGGATCAAAGGTATGGAGAATATAAAGGTGAACATGAGAAAGGAAGAAATAAAAGAAGAATATATTCCCACAATTAAGATTGTTTTTCATCGGTTTTTGCCCCTTGTGTCAAGTTACCTAGACATTTCCCTTGTCCTCTAGCTCAGTATTTACATATAAAACAAAATAAGAAAAAAAGAGGTACAAACCACAATCAACTAACATCTAAAGCTTTATAACAGCAAAACTATCAAATCTCATTCACCATAAAGGATAAATAAGAAATGATAAGTTGTAATAATCATGTTATTTCAAATAATATTTTAATAATGGCTTCTTTTTTCCATTCTTCATACACTAACAGTTTAATTTACCTAATATATATATATATATATATATATATATATATATATATATATATATATATATATATATATATATATATATATATATATATATATATGTCAGGAGCTTCACAGCCTGAAATCCAAAGACGTATATAATCGATGTTTAATTGCTTCGTAAAGGAGCACAGTACTGTTGTATGTGAATAATAAGGTTCAGGTGACTAGCAGAGTAAGTAATTACAGTAATATAAACACACATATACCTCATAGGTTCAATTATAGGCTTAATGATCAATAGTAGTACTACATAAAAGTTACTACAGTATATCTCATAGGGGTCTGCACAGGCAACACCAGTGTTCATCGTGTGAAGGTTTAGCATAACGCAACAGCCAACACTCTTTAACAAAAGGATAGAGATCATATGTTCTCTCTGGTTGTTGTTTCCAACGGCTCATCCTTGTGCCAGAATTCAGCACTACAGACCTCTGCTTTTGGTTCTAAGCCTTTTTTCTGATTTTGTGAAGAACAATAGCAAAAAGTTTGCTTTGCCAGACTGTCTGCATACCTAAACATCCTTTCAACCAAACATGAAATAACAAGTGTGAGTTTAGTAAGAAATAAAAATAAAATAAATACTCCTTGGCAGCCAAACCTACTGAGCTGAGTCTAAAGCAATTTTGTTTACCCACATGGCGGTTAGTGACGCAGTGCTCGGATATGTGAAGTCACAGGAACCATGTGTCGTAATTCAAAAGAGAAGAGTTTACTTTTTATGCAGAGAGTTACTATATTTAGTCATTATCAACCTCAGTAATTGTCTCTATAAACTGTTTTTTTTATTGAAACAGACCAAACACTGGGATCTGATAGAAGCAGACCCCAACCACTGAATGCATTTCCTCTGCTTTAGGTGTCATGTCAGTACGTTGCAGCTTGTGTTTCCAAACAGCATCAGACTGACCTGCTCTGTGTCTCTGAGGATGAGCTGTTTGCAGCTGCTGCGGCAGGCTTCCCTGAGTCCAAACCGTTCTTCATGTCAGCACTTTTCTCTGCGTGAGAATTCCCTGAGTCTGGCAGACAAAACAGCAGATTGTTTAGTCTCAGGATTGGATTGTATATCAGAATCAAAACACCTTCCAATAGGTACCCTCTTTTTTTGTGAGCTTTTT